GGCCTGACATATATTTCAGTAACGCAAGTATATTTTCTACAATGAGATATTATACAAAGTTGAAAACATCAGTAATCACGTGAAAACGTACAAAAAATAGTTTAATCAGTTTCACGTTGAGGATAAATGAAACTTCGTCCTTAATGGTAAGTCCAACACCCTTAGCTATACTGACAGCAAAAACAACATGTTATAAAATCTCACCCACGTTGGTAAAATATTCAGCAAATTTAACGGAATAATCTGATTAGAATGATTGACTGAATCTCATTAAATGCGCAAAAAGTTCATGTATACTGTCAAAATACTTAATCCTTCTTCAAGTGTCACTAATGATTAAATTACCTGGAAAGAAGTTACAAGGACAGTGTGCCTTCAGCGCTCTCTAGACAAGAAAGGCTCCAGAGTGTGAATGGACCTATCAACAAGCCTGGTGAGGGGCTAACGCACTTCTAACGCTCCTCCAGGCAGCATGCGAGTACTATCTATGGTAAACAGCTCCAGCTAACAATATGAAACCGTTCCAACAAACATGAAAAATACTTTTACTGAATGCAGAGATAACTAAAACATCACTTTATCATGTGAAGTATATTTAATATCTATATTTTAAGATTAAAACTCTGTACGGACTTTGGAATAGCAACTTATTCGAATTCAACCACAAACACACTTCTGACCATTACACACCGACTACTGAAGATCTACAGGCCAAAATTGGCTGGCGTAAAGGAGACTGTGACCAACATGTAACTTCACTATGCGCACGTTTTCTTGAACTCTCCTTTTGCATGTAATGGTAAGAGTAGAGCTAAGGGCGAGTTGCTATTTTGTTAGCAATGCAGGAAAATCATATTTGCAATTCGTGTACCGATGTTCTCTATAACTCAGAAACGAAAATGACTACTTTTCAAATACTGCTAATCTTGCGATTTTTATAATTTATTTTTATTTCTTTACATTAAACTTTTACTCATTTTTCAACTATTTATAGTTAAAATGACGGGAAGGAATTCTGAACTCAAGAAAACGTGCGCAGATAATATTTTCCCCCTACGTCACATAGTTTTTTCTGTCTTTTGACTGAATAAATCTGAAATCTGAAACATCTAAGAAATAATTTTTACGGATTTCGTGTGTTACCTATGGAAAAATAACATTTGCCCACAGAAGCTCTCAGTCCACACTAGCCCCTTCTCTTTTATAGGGACTGATGTTTTACTATGGTGAACAAATCAGAATATCTCCGTTTCATAAGTGGTGGTTCCAATGTATCTCCGAGAAGATTTCACATTTCCGTTCTTGTGACAGGATAAATTACGAGCGCAAAAGTAATTAATTTCCTTGAATTTCTTGACACACTTTTGTACTCAGTTGAAATATAAGTTATGGTTCATAACAAATTGTTCTCTAAAACTTACGTAAAATCACAAAAAATATAATTAAACCTTTTAATTCTTATTGGACATATATGTCATTGATATTGTTAAGTTCTGTACTTTACTACCTTCTTCCTATTTCCAGCATTCTTTAATTAATATTCTTGTTTACGAATTGAAAACATATTGCTCAACCTTGCTTCCAAAGTCAATGATTGTAATTAACAATTAAAATGTAAATACTCCACAATTCATGTTGAGTTTTTCTTTGCCTTGTTATCAGTGTAAATTTTCCGTTTGTCAGAGTAGCATACACGCCGGAGTTCGTAATGTAAATATAAAACATATTTTTCTATCAAATATAACTGCGTTACAAGCGTGACAACTTCGGGTTTAACAAAGATCATACGCAAGGACCATAGGACGATAGTGAAGCTGCCGGCCAGTCGCGGTCTGGAGCGTGTTGGGGAGGTGCTCTCGTGGATCTCACATGGCCCTCGGTCGCTCCTGTTCGCGCACCCGCTCGCGCACGCGCTCCCGCCCCCGTTCCCGCCCCCGCCGCTCTCGATTCCGCTCCCGCTTCGCCGAGCCGCAACGGCTATTAATGGAGTTGGACGGAGGCTCTCAACGGCGCCGATCGCGCGCCGTCCGCTCGGTCCCTCGCAAATCTCCGCCGCCACCGCCTGCGCCCCGCCGCCGGCCCGACCCCCGGCCCCGGCACCGCCCCCGGTGCCTCCCCGCTCAGCCACCCCGCGCTCCTGGTCTCACAGTGCCTCAGTTCCTGTCCCGCTCCCACCCGCGCACACATCCGTTGACCCGCCGCCCTCGGCACCCTCACAGCCGCCACTCCTCTCCCCGCCGCTCCCCCGCCGCCACCGCTCCGTCGCTTCCACCGCCCTCACTACCCTGCCTTCACACCGCCGCCGCTGCCAGTTGCCGTCACGTCCGCGCCCTCGAATGGCCAATCTGGCGTGGCGCGGCGATTAGCGACCGGCTGAATATCTCTGGGCGTCCCGTGTTTCCACTAAGAGCACGCATTCTCGCATATTTTTGGATTACTCACTGCGGAATATGTTGGCCCAGATGACGCAGAGGGCAAACGCAATGCCGTTCAACGCGGAAAATTTGGTTAACGCGTTATTTCTTTCATTCGTGAGTGTTTTTTCAAAGATATTCTATTTATTCACTGGCATCAGGTAAAATTCTTTAAAGAATGGAAAATAAAATTATGAACATTGCGATTAAGTAGTTTCACAAATTAGTTAGGATAAAAATAAGAAAAAATTAGCAATTTTGACCTTTTTTTACGTTTTTATGTCAAATCATTTCCATGTCTTCTTGACAGGAGTTGCTTCTGATAAACACTTGCGTATTTTTTATGAGCTATATAGTGGGTGATAACCAAGATTCTTTCTATATAATTCAAATAAAAACCATTTTCTGATCATATCAGACAAAAAGATTTGATTAAATGTTTTTTAATTAATAAAGAGCAATTATATTGAAGTATCTTAATATGTTTACAATTGGGTTAGAACTTGCAAAGACGCTTCCATTCACTTTTGGGTCTACTATTGGAATAAATTAAAAATATTGAGTCCCCCCTATAATTTGAAAATTAATTTTACTTCTAAATGTACAATAAAAGGTTTCAAACATGTTTGGTGCTTTTTTTTATTATTTTTTTTTTTTCAAGAAATGAAAATTGGAGTTTTGAAGAAGCATTTTTCAAGAATATAATGTGTTTAAAACCTACAATTTCTTGTTTTATAATTGATAGTTCCAAATTTAATTTTCTTTATACTTGTGAGCCACTTATGGATATTCTATACGGCAACCATTGTGACGATTGTATTTATAAGTTACATTCTGCGTTCGGAGTATTGAAAGAGAACTGAACTACACATTGTTTGATCCCAGTTTTGAATTTGTGTGCCATTTCAATAATATTTAAAAACGTGTATGTGTCCGCATTCTACAGGAGGCGTCAAAATAAAAGTAAGGAATGAAGTGGGATAGAAAATGATCACTTTTTGTCTATATACACTTGATAAGAAGTATTTTATAATGGTGTCATTTGCATTTGTACATATGACATTTCCCCTGAATTATGTTTTTCAGCTTATTTAATAATTTCATGTTATTTTATAAAGATGTGTTAATTAAAAACCACTTGATATCTTTAAAATATATGGCAATAAACCGCTGCTTATGCAAAATCTGCCCTGCTTCCGTACATTTATATTATGGCTGGTACAGTCCACTAATCTTTTATATGGCCAAAAACAAAGCTGTATTTCAATTACAAGCATGTATGAAGTTTTCTCCAAAGAGCAAACGTGTTTAAGGGTGTTCAAAAACATATCCAAGTAAGTTTTTTAATTTGATGTTTTCATATTAAGACATTAAAATTCTTAAAAATTGCGAAAAATGTAAAGGGTGTTAGACCTTCTATGATCGTCGGATATTGTATGAGTGGACTTTTATTAACTTTACCTATTTTGTAAACTAACAGAATGGAAAATAATGAAGTTGAAAAGCGTTGACCACTAAATTTCATGACATGAATTACAGATGTGCTATTTGATACATCAAGATTGAAATATAGTTCGATCACCGTACGAACGGATAAATACTACATTTTGTTGAAACACTAATCCGCGTTACTAGGTCAAAGTCGACCTACTATAATTAGCTCTGTATTTAATACGAGAAAATGAAACGCTTTAATCACTCTTTTCTAACTGGTGGCTGACCAGCAAAAATGTAATAGCAGGATACTGAGAGGAGAATATAATTTCATTATATCGGCTATGAAAATATAATTTAATAATATTTGCTCATTCTTACAGATAAAGTCCAGTAGAAAATACGGAAAGTTATAAACGTAATAAATCAATTTGATTCTGGAAATGTCATTATTAGGTCGCAGCTTGTGTTTCAAAAATAACCAACAAACAAAACAAAATGTTTGTTACATTACAATCCATGCGATTCAATGAAAATATGTATTAATAAGTTGCGTTTGAGGAACCGAATATTTTGTAATAATAAAAAGCTAATGCGCTAGTTCAATTGGCAAAATATGATCCTCACATATTTCTCTGGATGTTACAAAACCTTTGAATTATTTCTTGCATTGTGGATAATAAATAACACACATTGTTAATTGAAATATCGGATGCAAGAGATCTTCCATTGAGTTCCCGCGAATACCGCGAATTTATTACAGGCATTCCAGAAATAAACCAATATTTGTACACCATGTTCACATGTAAACGAAATAGAAAATCAAACATTTTATGATTGGAAACCGGGAATATCAGTAAGCGATATAAATACAATGTCTGGAATATTTAAAGCGTTCGAGTTTCAGAACCAAAATACTAAACACACGCACGTAAATGAGTCCGTGTACTTTTCAGATAACAAACGCCATTTAATGTCACCTTGAGCCGATATTCCACCAACATTCAACAGGCCTTAGAGGCCACACAATTAATTTCGTCATCAGAATCTTATCAAAGTTCTCCTTAATTGTTCCGGGAAAACAAAGTTGTGAGATAATCTCAAGTTTGCTTGCTCGTCTTCGATATATGTCATATGCACGGCCTTTAAGCTTCACTTTCCTTTCTGAGACGACACTATATCACTTCTCCGCAAGAGGAGGAGGAGTTGTGATGGGCCCAAAGGCGGCTGTTTCCGGTGAGGAAACTTTGGCACAGCATTATCGCCACCTTCTATGCTTCTCCAACTGTTAAATACATGCTTCTTGCGAAAGGCTGGAGTCTAATGAAACATGACATTAATTGGGCATTACATCTATTACACGTCAATGCCTGTTATGTAAGAAACATTTGTGATAAATCTATATTTCGTTTTTATGGTATACAATAATATTTTCTCAAAGACTGACACAGCTCACCCAGAACGCCGTTGTCTTTGCCACTTCGTGCTGTGAGAGGTTCTAGGGATAGAGTTTTCACGATGACTGACTTCACACTAACTACATAGCTGTACCGTATTAAGCAACTCTAGAGGGGTGGCTGTTTCAATCGGTAGTTTTCTGTGACTTCTCTGATTCATGGCCAAGAAAGACCACACCCAATCTTTCTTTGGTGATTTTTGACATTTTTCTCTCACATTTGCAACACCATTACACTTGCATGCACTATCACAGATGACGGTAAACCGAAGCTTAGAGATGCCTCAGCTGGGGCAGTGCCATGTTGATGGAGGTATCTGAAGATGGAAAAAAACAGAAGCCGAAGTGTAGGTCGGCACCAGATTTCACGTTCCAGAGGGGGAGGAACGCCACCACCGCAGTATGTAACATGCACTACACTTACGAGCCTAATGACCTAAGAAGTTGATGAGCTTCAAAACAAAAAAGAAACCAGATGCGACTGCGGCGGCCCAGGGCATCCACTGATGTCACTGCAGTGCCTCTAAACGAAATATCCTTCGCGGTTTATGTCCAAACTGTGGAAGGTTTTTCAACATTAGTTAGATAGCAAGGTGGAATTCAGCCGCCATCTAGAGGAGAATTCTAGGGTCCGGTCGCTCTGATCGGAAATTTTCTGCAGATTCTTCGACCAACACCAGGCGAATGCCGGAGCTAAGCATAACAAAGGGACATTCGGACACGCGATCCTTCCTTTTTTCCGTACTCCTGAACTCACCTCATACTTACATTACACTTGCATGATCTACACTACCACACATACAGAGATCGGTCGGGAACTGAAGAAATTGTCCTGGATAGGTCGGTTCCCCGTTAAAATTAGAATTTACATTCCAGAATTTGAAGATGAATTTAGTTTACAAACTGAAAATAAAATATTATTTTATCATAGTAATTTATCATATTATGTTCATATTTAATTCCATATTTTCATGAAAATAAATACATATATATTTACACATTTCATATATTTTTAGTTCATATAAAGGTTTTCCCTGGTCATAATTAACTATATTTCCAAAGAACTTACCCCCTCCAGTGTTGTAATGATTGAAGTAGAGAAAAGCAAAAGGGTAAGGGTGAGCGAATTCCCACCAGTACCATCCATCTCGCATTAAGATACTAAGATACATACTAAGATTTTTACGAATAGTTAAATAGTCATCGACGCATACATATATTATGAAATTCAGTAGAGTACTTTCAGTTTTCAGACGTATATACGTCTATTTATCATCGGGTTAAGTGTTGACAACTAATTTTAGCGAATCTAAGGAACATCAATTGTACTGATCTTCGATAAGTGTTTGTTAAAAAGTACATATATATATATACGTACGTGTGTATGTATACCTGTTTTATTTTATATTATTAATATAATAAGGAAATCAGGACTCGAGTTGATGTTTTCTAACCAAGAAAATGCATCAAACGATTTCGTTGTAGATGTATAAATTCCAATACACCCACTAATACAATTTCAACCTTGACGAGAAATAGAGATACTATTTGTTATGTAATTGTTCTGTCCCTCAGGAAGTGCTCATTTGATTCAACGTGCAATCAAAATTATGGCAATTGGCACATTAATGAAAGAAAAATTTAAAACGTTTATTTCGAGCTCTTTCCCCACAAGCGCGGTTAGCAAAATGCACGTCAAATCCGTGTACAGCTTGGGATTCGGATAAATAATGAAACCAATTTTGCGAGAGCTTCCCCGTCTGCCGCAAGAGATACGCGTCTGGGATTGTTTACGATTACAAATGCTGTGTCTGGGGTCTGTTCGCCGTTTTGGATCTGCGTTCTCGGAAGTAAAGGCAAAGAATGACAAAAATGTATTCCTTTCTGCGCCATAATGATTGTGTTCTTCTGGGCGGTCTGGGTAAAGTGTTATGAAGGTTCAAGATTGCAAGAGTGATCCCGGCCAGGAGTGCGACACGTCGTGGGAAGTAAAGGCGAAAATCTCTGCCATCCAAGAATTAGTGAAGGGGTTAATTTTATGTCTCAGATCTTTAGTATTGGGATGAAGTAAAGAATTTTTTTTTACTTTTTTATGAAAATTAATTTACATTTAGTGTTTTAAATCAGAAGGGCCTTTCTCTGCAATTGTTAATGCAACAATTCAAAAGGAAAGAAAACATTGAATTAGATTGTGGTTATTCTTCCAAAGCTTAATTGCTATATTTTTTTCAGATATATTATACAGTACCATCACATAGAGACACTTAATTTCGAATGGGATCGAGATAGAAGAAACTTACCTCATGTTCATCTCTCAACAGAAAAATAAACTCACTAGACCTTTCTACAGTAATAATTTTGGCCATATCTGTGGTTCATTTTGTGCTACCGAAACACTTGCCATATATAGAGATCGATTCATCACCCACCCATCATTCTCGGCTGCCCTATTTGTGGTGGCGCATATACGACCTCTATTCGCACTCCGAAATGCTTTCAAAACAAGGTTTTCGAATTGTAGTGGTCGCTCTCTGGTATTTTCACGACGTGGGTTATTCGCACCGCGAGCTTTTACTCGCAACGCAAAACAGGCGACTGAGTAACATCGCAGTGATGCGCAATTCCATTCTCGCCTTTTCAGATGGACAAAACTCAATAATAATGAATTTTAAAAGAGGTTCTTTTTGCAAAACACGATGATTCGAGGGTACCAGTCAGCAACATTGAGCACAAATTTGAAGGATGCCATGGTTGAGTCCAAGTATATGAAAGGAATTTGAAAGGAAATAGCTCAATAAATAAAACGCTATTCGAACTGAGTATGTATTTCATATGGCTATTATACGTAAAACGTGTGTCTACGTGATTTTGTGTCGGTTAGCTGACGAAGTGTTTAGCTTCGTTGCTGTCGTACAGTTAAGTTTCTTGCGATCTTCAGATTCTTTGCAATTTGTGTTTTGGAGTGTTGAGTGTCTGTGATACGATGGTGAGAATAAATGTGTATTTTTTGCGCCAAGGGAGTTTTCGCTATCATTGAATGAACGCAAGTGTTCTGTGCAAAAGGGGCCATGGTTTGCGGGAAGCAAGTCTAGTATAATTCAGGTATTAGTAATGACTTGGGTTCATCATTGGTTTATAAAATCCTCAGTCAAACCGCCATAAATATCGTCTTTCGGTAAGTTTCTGTCAGAGCGCTTAGCGTAATTTGAGGGAGGGCTAGAGGAGGCCCCTCCTCCCCCTTCCCCTTCTCTCCCTTCTTCACTCTTCCCCTCCCCTCCTCGCCCCACGCTTCTCTAAGGGTGTACCGTGTGCCCTACTTTAACCTAAGTTTCTACTCATCTTCAACAATTTGACCACCGCCGGGTTCGCAGAACAACTGACTACCCGAAAGGTACCCAGAAGTATAGGCTTCTTCGCGCAGGTGTATCTTCCCAAGGCTGGAGTACTAACAGCCACCACAATACCAGTTACGAGTTAAGGTCATTCCTAATACCCTCGTTTCTAAGTAGAAGTAGAGACGAGGGTGAGTTACTGTTCCGTTAGCGAAGCAGAAAAATCAAATCTGGGATTCGTTTACCGATGTTAATAAGTTATCTATAACTCAGGAACGAAAATACTAAGTTTCTACAAATGTTGCTAATCTAGGGTTTAAAAAAATATTACTCATTTATTTTTTAACTGTTATTAATCTTTGAACCATTTATAGTTAAAATGTCGGAAAGGGATTATAGATCTCAATAAAACGTGCGCGCAAATTATCTCCTCTCCCATACGTCACATACATTTTGACTGTTTGTTAACCAAATAAATCAAATCAAGTAAGTTCCTAATACTACAACTTTTCATGGCTCTTAGGAATTTCATTTCATCTGCTTGTAAGTGGCTGCATCTAATTACCATGCATTAAAAGTAATTTTTATTCCGCAGACTCGAGATTCGCCAGCCAACCGAATAGTAAGCCCCGCCCCCAACCGCATAGGCCGTCGTGCAGCAGCATTGGCAGTCCGACCACGCCTTCTCTTTCACACAGGCGCCACCTACTCACAGGAGAGCCCATTGCTCGCTGCCGAATTCTAAATTTTCTCCGACTTCTGCGGTAAAAGGAAGCGGAGCGAGGAATCGTGATGGCGTCTTTTAAAGCATATTTCCCCATCGACCTTTCGTCGAGTCCCTTTAAATCACTTACTTAGTACGAGGCGGCAAACCCCTGCTCATAACTCCCTTTATGTATTCATTCGTATGTTCATATAGGTATTACACCTTTCGTCTCTCGTAGAAAGGTAAATTGGAATTTTAGGTTTAGTATGTATACATTTACTCTCTTCATTGCGTTCTTCTATCGCAGTCCACAATACAAAGAAATAATACATTTGTAGAAATGAGGAATATGATCAAATATTTTAATATAATTATATTAGCAAGGGGGCACCAGTTAACTTTGTCAGATCATGTTTAACAGAATAAATGGATTTATCTTTCTCAATTATCAATAATTATATTTTGTATCTAGAGTTTGATTATGACAATTTACGCATCTTCATTGAAGAAATTAATTTGATATTATGTCAGTTCTTGCTCTTAAATGCCGAATAAAATAAATATGAAATAAAGTTATTATTTCGTATTTTTGTGCGAAGAGAAAGTTTCCACGACAATATTTAGGTACTTTCTAGAACTTCGACATATTATGTAAGTAACAAAATGTATTCTGAAGTAGTAGTTCGGACATAGATTCTAAAATATTCTGCTTAATGAAATATGAAGTACTCTAAAACACTGAATACTTATTGATATATAATCTTATGATAATTGTTTAAGACCTTGGATGAAAAAAATCAGCTCTCTATTCAGAATTATCATTTTTGATCAGTTCTAGACATACTAATAAGGCACACTAGGAAAAATCTGAACTCTTGACGGATATTATGAAAACATGATCTGCATGAAAATCTCGTGTAGTTACGTAGGTTTTTCGTAACCTACATAAATTGAATAAAAATGTAGAGCTTGATTGTTGCTTAACGTCATCAGTATTAATAGAATATCCTAATATTGTTGAAGGCATTTTTATTAGAATATCCTAATATTGTTGAAGGCATTTTTATTAGAAACCAAATTTTCATCTAAATCAACCAATTACATTGTAGGAGATGTTTTCTACCTATATTAATAAATGAAGGCAATGAGTAGAAAACCGTAAGAGAATCAAAATGATGTCTTTGTGGAATGTAAATGAATGAATAAATTTATATAAATAAATAACTTAATAAAGCAAAATATGTGTCTATTAATAAAAAAGGCCCTCAAAAATAATAAAAGATGTGAAAGCTTGTCGGGCATTCCATTTTGAAAGCATTAGTATGAGCCTCTATTATCATTCAATATACGGTTCATATACACTTTCATATAATATTAAAATGGAATTTTATTTTAATGTCTTCATTCAGAAAGTTTGTAATCATCCACATATGTCAGAGTATAAAATATCCGAAAGACATCGGTACTTTTTTAGTTAACGACTTGATAATGTCAGTTAAAAAGAATAAGAACTTCTAAGACGTTCATTTCCTTTAAGATACATCCTCATTTAAGTGTTATGGGCTGCCTAGGAGATAAAATAATCCACGCTTTATAGTGACGAGATAGCAGTGAAACCAGAAGTAGTACGTCATGATGCCAGAACCTGGGAAGGGCGTGAGCGGGGGATACGAGTAATAGTTTGCACCCCCGGCTCGAAACAGAGCGCAGAAGCAGTGTAAATTTAGATCTCCGGCTAAAACCTCATACAAAACCTAACAACTAATACAAAAATTATAATACGAGATAGAAGTTGGCAATTATAAAATTAACACAGTATTCGAAATGGTTCACGTTTCCACTATTTCCACGGTCAACAATTGAAGGAATTACTGCGCAATACAATGCAGTCGTGACAATTATTTACCGGATGTGTGAAATCAAGCTATAATAATCCCAACAAGCAAATCAGGCAAGGATTACACTAGGTCATTAACAACAGACTACACTTAAACTACAGACCGATATGTTTATTACTTGTGCCGTACCTGGCGATGACATCCCGCGTGGCCGCGCGGGCATCGAAATGCGCCACACACACACACACACACACACGCGCGCGCGCGCGCGAGGTCGCAGAAAAGATGCAAAAGGTTCTTTTTCTGTGTGCCAGAATTGCAAATGATCTTTTCTGTTGCAAAAAATCGTTCATAAACGGGCATCTTACGGCTCAAATCGCAGCGAGAGAATCGTGGGGAGGTAACGGTGAACTGAACGGCTGACCACCGGTTTCTCGTATAATACCCGCCACGCCACAAGAAAGTTGTTTCGCAAAATTTAAATTTGACTCTCATATTTATAATGTATATGAAAGTATACGAATTAACAATGTAATATACCAGAAAATAGCGTATGCACCTCGTTAATAATGTTTTTTATTGCATTCGTACAAAGTTACGAAGTACATGTACTAATTAAATTAAATTTATAGTACGATTTGTTCGGTCGAGCAGTTGACATATCAGCTGTTGCGGTTTCATCCAATCGGGAGCTTATATGTCGGTAAAATGCCGTCACTATAAGGACGTTTAAGCTCTTGATTAAAAGAAAACGTGAACAGCTGATTTATGTCATGTGCGCGGTTAAATAAATCATAGTATAACAATATAAACTAATTGCATAAACTACTATGTAAACCCCTAAATAAAAAAGAAGCGACCAAGGGCATGAGTCTTTTTGTTTCTAGTTTGGTCTTTTCTGTTTGGCTCTCTCTAATCAAGACAAGACGCGTCAGGTGAAAAATTAACTATTTACGGAATTAAAAATATTATTTCTTTTAAATAAATTACTACATCGCAGAAAATAACTTTCTCATATATATTTATATATCTGACAAACATTTTATACTCTTTACCTTACATGAAATATCTTTAACTAGTTAATACTCTTTCCTAACGTGAGGACTCTATCCTTTGCGACTTCCAATAATGTAAAAGATAACCAATAGTACACTTCTGATATTTAAATTACATCTCAACCTTGCACAATATAAAGACGAATAAAATTTTAATTTTCACATATTAATATTTACACATTCTCAAATTCGGCAGAATGGAGTTAGCATGATAGACTGATGGCTACAATGATCTATTCCTGTGTGCCCTATTCAAAAAACATTTTCTATACATTACAATTTCGCCTCCGAAGTTGCCGTACTCCCACAGCTGTTCTGTTGGACTTGGCACCACTTCCCCCAAGTCCACTTCGTGGACTCCACGGGATGAAGGCCTGTCACTCCACCGCCACTCGAGGACCTTTCGGATGTCTTCGTACTCCACCCGAAGTTCGCCGAACACGCTGCACAATGCACACGACGCTGAACTCGCCTCCTGCGGCTCTGATGGTGGAAATTTTACCCGTGCAACCAATAATTCCCTCAGTGAATCGCTAATACACAGTTCTATATGTGGTCATGGGGGTCGATACCCGTAGTTCCTACTGGTCTAGCAGTCAATTATCCGGAAAATACAGTGAGTTAATTCTCGCCATATTTGGTCAACTTATTGCTGGATCTTTCGCTTCTAATTCCACTTTGACCGCCCGTACTTTTTACCACATGCACTTCGTCGTCTACAGTTCTTTGTTAAATGTTAAAATAAAGGGCACAAAAATATATTCCCCACAGTTCACTTGCCACATGTAGTTTGAAGGTTCGAAAAGTAGTTATTCCTTCCTCACGGGATTATCTAATGCACTGAAATGATTTAGTGTTTGTCACCACGTGCAACTGGCAGAAAGCATCCGCACAAAGTTCACGAATATTTCTCAGAATTACATAATTTACTCGCGTTATGAATATTTCCCTTATTACAGTCCCTAATACACTTACAAAACGACAATGTTAATCGAAATCTTCCACCAACGTGTCCCGACAAGTTACAACACGAACTTTACCCAATCCAAGTAACACGTCTGTCGTTCTTGAAAATTTGCGGCCAACTAACTTCGTCCGGATCTCTTTAGCACTTACGGTCGGCTTCCGTAATCGATTGTCTGAAGAGCAGCGCCATATCTTTGTCACTTCGTCAACCAGACAATATAACGCAAAAATCACCGTGAGCGTTGCAATTTTCCCACATTATGATGGGACCATATGCGATACATCATACGCCATAACACCGAAAAATTTACTACATAATGTAATACAAGTGTTTGAAAAATATATAAAGAAAGGTTGCAAAAGTTTTTAAAAACAAGTGCGATAATTCCCAAAGAACAATTAAGTTTTCACAAATAATACTCCATCATTCAGCAGGTTTCAAGACTAACCAAAAATGTAGCAAACCGGTTTCTTCGGCACAATCATACATTAGCTGTTTTTCTTCATGTGGAAAAGGCAAAGTTCTGGTACTCATATTTATGATATAAATTATGAAATTTGAGATATCCCATTATTTGAAGGAAATAATTAAAACATTACTGCAAAACAGTTTTTGCGATGAAAGTCAATACTCACATATCTCATCAAAAAGTGCGCTCGCAAGCGACCCTTGCGGTACACAGTGCTTCCTGCCCTCTTTAACCTTTATGCTGCAAACTCCCTAATACAAGAACAAATATACCATCCCTAATGATGCAGTGGTATTCATAATGAAGAAGGATAACACACAAGGGAAAAAAATACAGCAAAAAATATTTAGATATAAATTAAAATGGAAGTTCTGGAGACAAATCATTGACCTAATTAAAACACACTGTTTAACAAAATCAAAATACTACTTTAAAAATTTTAATCAAGCCCAACTCACTCTCAGTTAGAAGGATATTCGCATAAAATGAACTCCCCACCTGCTTATGCCCAACCCCCTCATAAAGATGTATTATGTTGGAAATCTCTACAAAATCTGTGATTGACTAGATTGCAAATAAATATGTTAAAATGTTAAGTCGCAGTAGCAATCTTGTCACCGCTGAGTGTGTAGTAGTGTGTCGTAGGTCGTGTCTCTGGAGCTCTGTTAGTGCTATTGCGTGGCGTTAATCCGTTAGAATTGCTGATAGGGACATCTTCAAAGTTAGTAACTTCGGCCGAGAGGCTGCTTCACGGGTGGTCGGCCAAGGTCTGTTGCGAGCCAGAGGACAGAAAGGGTAAAATGTAAATTTTCTACAATAGGAAAGCCAAACGATAAAGAAGATAATATGTTTCAATAATTTCCAACACAAACGCAACATAACGCATTAAAGACGAATGAAAGGGGAACATCCATTAAATTTCAAATAATGACTTTACATATTTTCTTTACATCTATCAATACTGTTTATTATGCGGTGTAAACTCTGCCGTTATCTCTCTCCTCATTTACGCGTCCCCCATATTACTTATGGATTTATCACCAAGAAAGGTGGCTCAGACGAGCAACTGATGTCACTGCAGTGCCTCTTACCAGGACGCCCTGGAATGCCAGGCCCGACGGTGGCAGGATTTTCGCCTCTAGCTAGGTCGATTTCAGTCGCTGTCTGGAGGACAATTCTACCGGCCGGCTGGTCTGATCGGTAGCTTTCTGATCAATATCAGGCCAATGCCGAAGCAGTATTTTAACAAACGGGCCACGGACCGCGAGCGAAATTTCTTTCCTCTTCCTTGTCCCATCCTCACCCCTTACATACACACGCACGCGCACATATTGGGAGACCGGTCGGAAGGTTAGAGCTTGTCCCAACTGGGGCGGTGCCGCGCTGGTGGGAGATACCAGGTTGGGGGAAATTCCGTTAAAAGGTGGTAGTCGGCGCCGGATCTCACCATCCAGCAGGGGAATATCACTGCCACCTTCTCTGTCGATAAAACATGCATTGCATTTACGAGACTAATTACCTTAGTAGTTGATGCACCCTCAATCACTAATAAATCAAATCAAAAAATCTTATGAATTTCTCAGTCTACAATACTCCGTGATTTTTCTGCATTACAACGGACCATATTAAGTTTGTGAAATGAAAAATAAAAATAGGAAAAATGATTAATAATATCAGATAAAAATGTTTCGAAAGACAAACGTCAAATTGCAACTCCGACACTCCTGACTTTTGTATTTCGTATTGAGTCAATTGAGTGGCATTTACCCAATTCCACTTACACGATCACATTAAACGATGCTATTCTTAGTGTTATTATATTTCTTAAGTTGCGACAATCTCAATCTCACTCTGCTTCCCCCCCACACACACACACATTCTGGCGCCATGAACAAGAGTTTACCTCGAGGTGCACTGCTGAGCAAAGAGACACTACCCACAGTGCCTGTGATGGAACAACTGCGGGTGCCCCTCTGAGTAGTGAGTAGTGCTGGTGAAAAACAGACAATAAAATCAGTGCGTGTGCGCAGAAAACCAGCTAAATGTGCATGCGTGAGCAAAAGTCAGTTACCCTCAACAAAAGTCTGCGCAAATCGAACTGGCAGATTTAAAAGACCATATCATTATTTAGTACAATTCAAGAGCTTAGTTCAGAGATAATTTAAAGTTAGTGTCTGTTAGTGTATTTTTATTTTTATTTATTTAGGGTTTTTAACTATATTGTATTATTTTTTCAAGTCTCGAAACTATTAACCAATGTAAATATGTATATATGTAGATATAAGTCTAGAACAAATTATGTATTGAAATTTTACTAAGCACCCCCTGTATAAAACAGCATCCTACTCTAAATGCATTAAATTAATATTTTTAAATTGAGACATATTAGAACACAAGCACCGTAACATACGTTCAACGCGACGCCTAGAAAACAAACTGAAGAAACTACCGGGCCGCCCTAGCGTAACCTCTCTCCCAGGGTTGCCTCGTCATTAAAATGGTCCATCAACCCCAGCCCCCACAGCGTAGCTGGGCGCGGGCGGATCCATAACACCTCTTTACCCGGTCGCTATACCAACAGGATCCATCTTCATAAAAATTCATGAACAATTTATACACTGGTATTTGCACGTTACCGGGAGCGGCGTTGGCGGCGGCTGCGGCGGCGATGACGCCAGCGCTGCGGAGTGACAGTCGCAAAGGGATCGCGAAGGGTATTCCGGGCGCCCGCGGAATGGCCGAGTCGGCGCTAGGAAGAGAGGGACGAGGGTGATTTTGACGCAGCAGGGCAAGGCCGAAGGCCGCGCGGAAGGCCTTGACTTCAACCAACGATTTCACGGAAGGGAGTGGACTTTCAAACTGACGTTGAAAGTTAAAGATGCAGGAAGACGAAAAAGAAAGAAAAAGAGATATTCAAATGAAAATAAAATGAACCAATTATTCTGCATTAATCAATATTTTTTTCGAAAAGCAACAAGAATGCATTAATTTATCTTTACGTTAATCTGATTAATTGAAACTGTTAAAAATAGTTATCGCCACGCCTCAGAATATGTTATCTTCGTTACAGAATAAGTATTGACACGAATGCAGACTTCATGAGTTGCAGTTGAAGTGCAACAATGCGTATCCAAAGGAATACTAATTCAATGCAACCTGGGGAGATTTGGATATATTTTCTATTCATTTTGTTTTATCTCCATTGTTATGAAACATTTTTTACTAAACGTTGAATCAATGAAAATACATTATTGACTATTTGTAGAAGCAAATAATTTGGTTTGTTATTTATTTTGTTTACTAAAGAAATGAAATTTAAGGCAAAGTTGTGTCCAAGCTGCCTCTTCAGTTGGGGAAACGGGTACATAACATTTTAACCATCCCAAACTATAAATAGTTTGCTTTTATTTCAAACATGAATCCAGGGAATTATTTCTTACTGTATACAATTTAAATATCCATCGTGAAAGCTGCATTTATTTACGAGTTGATCTATTAATCCACGGAAACCAGCGGAAACCAGCTCCTTCCACAGCACCCGCTGGCGGCAACCAATCGTGGCGCGGGTGCAGGGAGTGTGCCAGCCATCGCGGGGAGCAGAGGGTCGTGTCACCCAGACGCAGAGAGTATTTAAAAGGCAGTATCTGCTGAAGAAGCCTACGACTTTTTCTACAGCCCCGCAAATATATTCCTCTTTATTCTATGTAAGTTTTTCTTGAACATTCTTCCATTCTTTACCCTTATTATTTTCTATTATTTCCTTCCTTCTCTTAAATGTCTTACTTTCCTCCCTCATGTATTGCGAATCTCTTTTCTACTATCTTTACGTTTTGATTTATTTTCTTACTCCTTTCATCTCGTTTTACTTTTCATATCAGTTTTATGTTTATTACTCTCTTACTTTTCATTAGTCTCAGTTTTCTCTTTTTCCCAAGACTCTCAAAATCGACTCCCTTGTTTGTGCTCTACACATAAAGCTCCTACAGACCGACGCCTACGCGGAATAGCCTCAATGGAAATTTCGCGTCACGTGTTGCCTTATGAGACCTGCGAGCGTCGCGGCAGCGCATTGACAGCGTTTTATTACCTGCGGATTTTGGAACGCAGTCGGACGCGTTTCGACCGCCGCCGCTCGAGTCTCGTGGAATTCCGCCCGCCTTCGGGAGTTTTCGCTCCCCTCTGGGCCGAGTTCCCGTGACTTTGTTTATCAGATGAGGAAAACTGTCACCAAACGCTGAGTCATAATTGACGCTCCTGTGTGAACGGTCCCGCGAATTTCGTTGCCGCGTCTAGAGGGAAATTTCCGCGTTGCACTCGTTGCGTATTTGCTGCACCGGTCTATGGTAGCCTTTATACTGCGATGTATTTTAAATAGAATGTCACAAAACCTACAAAAAATATTTTCAACGTTCTCGACTAGCCTTATTGAAAATAAAGAACGTGGTTTATTTTCATTAATAGGATACATTGCATGTTTGGAACTCTAATAAGACATGAAAATGTCTCAAAACATTATATAAAAAGTATTGCGTGAAGAATGTATAATCACAGGAAGAAATTCCCGTGCTTCGACCTCGTGATGATGGAGCTGAAATGCGGAGCCATCCGTACGACATCGATCGCCAAGAATCCATCACCTAAAAAAACGTCGTGCGCGATGCCATTTAGATGCGAGACCCCAATGAGGACTTCGGGTCAGAGGGCACAGAGACGCGCAATG